ATGACACTGAGTTCCCTGTACTTCAATGCCCCCCACAGTCACCAGATCTCAATCCAATAGAGCAGCTTTGGGATGTGGTGAAATGGGAGATTTGCATCATGGATGTGCAGCCGATAAATCTGCAGCAACTGTGTGTTGCTATCATGTCAATATAGACCACAATCTCTGAGGAATGTTTCCAATACCATGTTGAATCTATACCACGAAAATTGAGGCAGTTCTAAAGACAAAAGGGGGTCCAACCCGGTACTAGCAAGGTGGACCTAATATAGTGGCCGGTGAGTGTATATCCCCTTTAGATAAAGATATAACTAAAGAGTTCCAACCTATACCCAAATCTTAATAATTGAGAAAGATAGTTACATAGGTACATGTATTAGATGACATTTAGCATTAGTCATTTTAATGCTTTTGATGTTGTGATTGAACATGTGTGAAGTAAAAAAACTGTCTATCCTGAGATGTTCTTTTCCTTCACTACAGGCTGGTCTGAAAAAATTTGTGGAATATGTACAACACGGTTCTGCAGAGAAAGTGGCCAGGTTGCTGGATAAAGGCCTAGATCCAAATTATCATGACTCAGAAACAGGAGGTAAGTAACACCACTACAGATATACAAATGCCTTCTAGCGTGTAACATGGATATATCATTTCCTTTCCTCTCTCACACTCACTAACTTGGGCCTCATAGGACTCTTCAATGTGCCCTTTCCTGCTCTATTGAAAAGGAAAATCACCAGTTAACCTCCTTAGCGGTATCCTTGAGCAGGGGTGGACTGACCATTTGGAAACTCGGGCACTGCCCGAGGGCCCGGGGTCAGTAGGGGGCCCCATGAGATGCCCCTGGTACCTTTTTCATAGGATTTTTTGAGTTTAGCAAGTACACAGGGGCCCCATGATCCCCTATTGCCCGGGGGCCCCATGAGTTGTCAGTCCGCCCCTGTTCCCGAGTGTAGCTCGGGGTAAAATTTGAGTACCAAAAGCGGTAACCCCGAGCTACACTTGGACTTACCATGCGGCGTTGCTCTGGGAGTCCCTGCAGCACTTACCTTGTCATTCGCTCCCATGATGTGTCCCCTGCAACGTCCCCGGCCATCTCCTCCGGCCGATGCCGGCATCCGGCTTCCGTGTTCCGGTCCCTGTGGCGTCGGGACATACGGGCGCCGGAACAAACATAAGGGCGCTGGCAAATTTGAAAATTTTTTTTAAAAATGCCATTTTTTTCAAAATGACTATTACATAGTATAACATTGCTGTTTTCAATGCATTTCACATACATTTTGTCCCTACTGCTTTGTCCTGCACCCTGCCTGCATTTTTACTGTTCTTTCTGCCTGGAAACTTAGAAAAGTCCATGGCATCCAAAAAGCGTCCCTTTATGTCAAAATCGGTTTTAGACCGGCTAGAGAACAGCGATAGTAAATCAGAACCACTTGCAGAATTGAGTAATAATGATTCGTGGGGGAAATTCGTCATCAGACACTGAAAACGATTCTGCGACTGAGCTCAGTGATGTGCGAACTTGGCGCTATATTTCAAATTTCAGTGTTTTTGGTTTGATTATATTATTGAATTAAATTTATTATTATTATATTATTATTTTTTATGATTATTTATTACATTATAATTTATGATTTCGTGGTTTCAAATTGTAACATACCCGGGATGTTTACTAGACTCTTGTTCGGACAGATTTCAGTGAGTTATTCCTAAATATTACAGCCTACAATAAAAAAACTACATATTTCCATGCAAAATAATGGTACCGCTTTCAGCACCAAAAATCAGAAATAATCAGACCGCCGAGGAGGTTAACAAAGTTCCATGTTAAATGGTTTCTTATATTGCTCAGGGGCTCATGTAGTGAGATCTCTGAGCTTACGTTCCCAGGGTGCCCATCTAGTGCAGCCTTTCATGGAAGGACCTAGTTGCCCTGTCGAATTTTAAACCTTATAGACCCCTGGTGGACATTGGATGCATGTTGTGTAACCCTTGGACCTTTGCAGACAGTACTGGGAGTGGGAATACTGCCGGTGATCTTTGGCATTCTCAAGTAACATGTTCCCAGTCTTTCTCTTCTGCAGCATTTTCCCACTTTTTAGAAAATGTATATTATATAGGGCGCGCTTGTTAGAGCCCAACCTCTGTAGCTGTAAGATAAAGGTGCCAGATGGATATCAGGGATGGATGGATGGGAGCAGTAACACTGAGGCAGCTCTTCTTAGAGTGGAAGCAAGGCTCTAATGCAGTAAAAAGAAAAAGAGAGGAAGGCGCCTCTAAGTGCAGTATTGACATGTATTCAGTAAACAATGGAAAATTTGCACTTACAAGATAAACGGTTAAAAAGACTCATCGTGTGGAAATTAGATCCAGATGGGACATCCAGCCATCCAGCAGCAGACTATGCCTATAGGATCAGGAAGTAGAGTCCAGGATGTGCCTGTGCATCAAAAATGAAGCTTGGAGAACAGAGTCAGATATAGCAGGTGAAGGGGGCAGTAATGCATTTAGGCGCATGCTTAATAGGCTCCTTCTTCAGACTTCTGAAGAAGGAGCCTATTGAGCATGCTCCGAAATGCATTACTGCCCTCTTCACCTGCTACATCTGACTCTGTTCTCCAAGCTTCACTTACAGTGCGGCTTAGAGGCGCCTTCCTCTCTTTTTATTATTATTATTATACAGTATTTATAAAGCGCCGATAGTTTTGCTCAGCGCTGTACATTACAAAGGGGGACAGAACATGTGACAGAACAATAACAATACAATGCAAAACATGAGGGGATTGAGGGCCCTGCTCCTTAGAGCTTACAATCTAGGAGGGAGGGGATGGTGGCACAGGAGGAGATAGCTGTGGGGGATGGAGTGGTAGGAAGAGTGGAGGAGGTCGGCCAGTTAGCAGGGGGTGGGGTAGGTTTCCCTGAAGAGATGGGTTTTCAGGGTGCGCCTAAAGGAGAGGAGAGTAGGTGATAATCTGATGGGTTGGGGCAGGGAGTTCCAGAGGATGGGTGACACCCTGGAGAAGTCCTGGAGGCGGGCATGGGAGGAGGAGACTAGGGAACTAGAGAGAAGGAGGTCTTGTGAGGAGCGGAGTGTGCGTGTTGGGTGGTAGTTGGATATTAGGTCAGTGATGTAGTTCGGGGCAGTATGGTGGACGGCTTTGTACGTCAGTGTTAGGATTTTGAATTTGATTCGTTGTGCAATTTGAAGCCAGTGGAGGGATTGGCAGAGGGGGTGGCGGAGATGGAGCGGTTGGAAAGGTGAATGAGTCTGGCTGCCGTATTCAGGATCGACTGAAGCGGGGATAGCCAGCGGCGAGGCAGGCCAGTAAGGAGGGAGTTGCAGTAATCGAGTCGTGATATGATGAGGGAGTGGATGAGCTGTTTAGTGGTTTCTGGGGTTAGGAACGTGCAGATTTTGGCAATGTTGCGGAGGTGGAGTCTGCACGAGTTTGTTAAAGATTGGACTTGGGGCTGGAAGGATAGGTTGGAGTCCAGAATAACACCAAGTACTCTTTTTCTTCTTTTCCCACTTTTTACCCATGCTGCTGGCACCTCCATAGTGTCTAAAGTTTCTGACTATCTCCTGAAGTCTACTACAGTCTTTGGTAGCATTACATTTACTGAATATTATGTAATGCCCCATGGTGGTGTCAGGGACCACAGCTGAGGCCCCCTATACCTCATGCGTTGACCACGACTGTTGTAGACTGAGCAATAGAAAAATTGGGAACATAGAAAACCTCAAAATGAGAAGGTAGGTAAATGTCCCCAAGAGATAAAGGAAGCCAGTAGGCTAGCTGAGCTCCACCCAGTAGTACAATATCACTTTTTGACAGACGTATTGAAGTTGGTCCCATTTTTAAAAGCCAACATAGAAAAACGGATGCTTTAAAGGATGTAGACTTTGTGCACTATCCTACATGACACTAGTAGTAATAACTGAGATCTGGATTTCTATGGACAGAAAAGACTACTTATTTGGATCTAGTCCTTTTAAACTTTCAAGAATGTGGAAAAAATGGAGCATATTCCCAATTGTCATGCCACCATTGAATCTGCTTGTTATAGGCGATAGCTTCTTCAATGTAAAATAATGTTAGCAGACTTTATAACTTTTGCTCAGTTCAGTGATAGCTGGATAAGATTACTGCCTTTCTAATCATCTTCACACCTAGTATAGAGCTTTAAGTATTTTTTCTCCCAAACTAAACATATACTGGTAGGTTAGACACCCTATGTTCAAAATGGCCTTTTGGTAGTGTCGATGTGACCATGTTAGGGGTACTAATTTTAAGTTGTGATGGGGTTAGCCATAAAGTAACAAGTAATGCTCCTAATTTTGTGATTATCAGGACATATCTGATCTTCTGCAAAAATTTTCAAGTTTAAGTTGGAAATTTCCCACTTGGAGGGCATTCTTATTGCATGGGGTGAGCAGGCAAAATCCTTCACTCTCCTTTGTAGGAAAGTTAAAGTGAACACATTCCTCAATCATACTGGGCTAAGTAGCAGGCTCAATTTACTTGATGGGTCATAAGATTCATGTGTTTATCTTCCAGTGATTCCCGCCATTCTAGACTGCTGACTGTCCATCTAGGAAACATCCAGTATTTCTGGGTATAATAAAACAGGCAGTACTCCCCTTGCCTTCCCACAGTGCAGGGGTGAGTGCATGAAATGGCTGATTTTGATGAATAAGTCGTAATGTATATGGGCATTCCATTGTGCCAGCAGTATACTAGAACAATGGTGGAGTGAGTAAACGGTTAGTACATATGCTTTGAGGCCTGTTTTACACTTGCTGCAAAATGTGGCATTGGACGCACATTTTTAAAGCACTCTGAATGCCAATCAAAGCACATTTTGATACATAAAATGGATACATTACAGTCTTGTTTACACATTGCATTTGCTTTGCTTCACTTCAAAAATTATACCCCAATGTCGCTTTCTTGGTGCTTCAAAGCATCTCCAAAGCCTCCATAGAAGTCTGTGACAACCAGGGGCGGACTGACCATTTGGAAACTCGGGCACTGCCCGAGGGCCCGGGGTCAGTAGGGGGCCCCATGAGATGCCCCTGGTACCTTTTTCATAGGCTTTTTTGAGTTTGGGCAAGGGCACAGGGGCCCCATGATCCCCTATTGCCCGGGGGCCCCCATGAGTTGTCAGTCCGCCCCTGATGACAACGCTCACTTACAGCACCTGCAGCTTTTGAAAGGCTTTTATTCAGCTTTAGCTTTCTATTGTTTAGAGGTATTGCAGGTATGAGATATCCCAGGATGCACTGGGAAACCAATAAGAAAGCCAAAAAGATGTCATCAGCAGTCACTTTCAGTTCATGTGTATATTTTCTGGGAGTGTCCGGTGCAGACATCACATCTGGTATGCAGTGTGGAGCAGCAGGAAGGTGAGCGGGGTCCAGACCTGAGCCGAGCAACTAGCAGACAGCACATGTGGTGTGCAACATAGGAACGCTAGAGTGGAAATTGAGTGGGGACATGAGAGAGAGGACTGAGTAGCAGAGAATCAGCAGTTCTGGGGGACAGGAGCAGGAGAAACTAGCATTGTCACATGTGGTGCACAGCGTGGGAGCAATATAGCAGGAGATGAGCTGGGACAAGAAAGAGAGTAGGATCCACCAACCAGAGGATCAGCAGAGCTGGGGGTTACTACTGAGTGGGGGATCAGCAGAGCTGGGGATTACTATTGAGTGAGGGGGATCAGCAAAACTGAGAATTACTACTGAGCATGGGATCAGAAGAGCTGGGGGTTACTATTGAGCCGAGGATTAGCAGAGCTGGGGGTTACTAAGTGGGGGATCATCAGAACTGGGAGTTACCGCTGAGTTGGGAACCAGCAGAGATGGGGGTTACTACTGAGCGGGGGATCAGCAAAGCTGAAGATTACTACTGAGTGGGGCATCAGCACAGCTGGGGGCACTACTGAACAAGGGATCTGCTGAATGAGGGTACCAATGAGTTGGGGATCTGCTGAACAGGGTTACTAATGAGCTGGGTATCTGCTGAATGGGAATACTACTTAGCTGGGGTTCTACTGGGCCCCTTTAAAACAAACCAAAAATCAATACACACAGAGCATTTGCCAAGCTTCATTAAAGATTCAAATAGCATCACTGAAGCATCACCGAAGCATCACAGAAGCATCAAAAACAAATCAAAAAAGCATGTTGAAGTGGTATGCACTTCAATGTGTGTTAAAGTCAAAGCAAGTGTAAATGAACCCAACATGTAACTTGTTTGCTCATTGCGGGCAAAGTGCAGCCCTCTAGATTTGACAAATGACGCTGGAGCTACTTAAAACGGTAGTAAACCGCAAAATAAAAACCTAAAAAAATCTTCCCCCTGCAAGTTAAGAGTATAATGTACTAGTATGCATTGCATACTAGCACATTAGGAAAGACTTACCTGAAAACTAAGCTCTCCAGCGGAGCACTGTTACAGCTCCCCAGGGCTTCCATCTTTACCCGGTCTTCCTTCTGGGTTCCTGGGCTGTGGCCGTTTGAATGGCCAAGCCAAGGTGACGTCATTCCCATGCATGCACGGGGGAGTCTCTGCCATGGCACACCTCTCTCAATGGACAGCACACCATCCATTGAGAGCGCAGTGTGCATGCGCCGGTGACATCACCAGCACTGCCAAAGTAAATATCTCCTGCAGGAGGTATTCTCAGTACCTACAGGTAAGCCTTATTAAAGGTTTACATGTAGGTAAAACATGAAAAAATTACTTTACTACCACTTTAAATAGTCCATTCAGTAACCATCCAGGTAGCACACTGGTAGATCCAACACACTGTACAATTAGATGGCAACATATGCACATGTTCTGCTGACTCTACTGATTAGGAACCAGTTCCTGTTGCTCCAACAAATCTGTCAAGGACAGGCAGATATCTGTTTGCTCTTTATTCTTAAGATATTCGATCATGAATGACCAGCCTAAGGCTGGGAATGATTTAAATGGAACAGTGTATTTTGCAAAGCTCTGCTAAATATAGTGAACCTATATAAAATGTTATATATATATATATATATCTCATGTAATCCGCCAATGCCGGAAGCAGGCAGGGGTGCCAAATTGATATGACCTTTTATAATAGTCCCAAAAATGTTCTTGTACAAGTAGAAATGAAAATAGAAATTGCTTTGTGATATTTTTGTATTTTGCATTTTTTCTTTTGTGTTTTTGGCATTGGAATCTGACTCTAAAACATGAACCGTCATAGTTTTTGGCTCTGAGTTCGAGAATTTATGGGATATTTAGCAGTTAGTAGTCTTGTTTTGTGTCTGTGCTAGAAACTCTAATAGCTTGTTGTCTAGGACATATTTATGTAATCAAGCACAATGTGGTTCTGTGCTCAACGCAATTGCGAAAAACAAATGTTTATTTACTTCAAATGAATGTCAATGCTTGTTTAGGTATAAATTAGATGTAAGAGGAAGGCATAGAATGTCTCTATGGAGCTGCATTGATAAGAAGCCTTCTTGACTCTTGGCAAAGCTTTATTGAGTGATGTTATAGGGTAGGTGGATTTTTTAAGGTAACTCTGGTTTTTGTCACTGAGTTAAAAATATAGAAAAAGCAGGTGAAAAAGAAGAGGGTTTTATACTCACATGTCCTGCCATCTGCTCCTGTAGAGCAACAGCCTCTTCACACACTTTCAGATAGGTTGCATGACTGGTCTATTGCTGCAGTCTGTGGTGTTCCTCCTCAACAATTATGGCACTACAGGGCACTTTAGTGGATGTAACCACAGTGTGTGACATTACAGGGCACAGTCATGGCTTAATCATCATTGGAGGGAACCACAGAGTGTGGCATTACTGGGCACAGTAATGGCTTAATCATCATTGGAGGGAACCACACTGTGTGACATTACAGGGCACAATCATGGCTTAAGGATCATTGGAGGGAACTACAGTGTGTGGCATTACAGGGCACAGTCATGGCTTAAGCACCATTGGAGGAACCTACAGTGTGTGACATTATGGGACATAGTAATGGCTTAAGCACCATTGAAGGTAACCATAGTGTGTGGCATTATGGGGCACAGTAATGGCTTAAAGATCATTGGAGGGAACCACAGTGTGTGGCATTATGGGACACAATCATGGCTTAAGAATCATTGTAGGGAACCAGTGTGTGGAATTACGGGGCACAATCATGGCTTAAGGATCATTGGAGGGAACCACAGTGTGTGGAATACGGGGCACAATCATGGCTTAAGGATTATTGGAGGGAACCAGTGTGTGGCATTATGGGGCACAATCATGGCTTAAGGATCATTGGAGGGAACCACAGTGTGTGGCATTACGGGGCACAATCATAGCTTAAGGATCATTGGAGGGAACCACAGTGTGTGGCATTAGGGGGCATAATCATAGCTTAAGGATCATTGGAGGGAACCACAGTGTGTGGAATTACGGGGCACAATCATGGCTTAAGGATCATTGGAGGGAACCAGTGTGTGGCATTACGGGGCACAATCATAGCTTAAGGATCATTGGAGGGAACCACAGTGTGTGGCATTAGGGGGCATAATCATAGCTTAAGGATCATTGGAGGGAACCACAGTGTGTGGAATTACGGGGCACAATCATGGCTTAAGGATCATTGGAGGGAACCACAGTGTGTGGCATTACGGGGCACAGGCATGGCTTAAGAATCATTGGAGGGAACCACAGTGTGTGGCATTACGGGGCACAGGCATGGCTTAAGAATCATTGGAGGGAACCACAGTGTGTGGCATTATGGGGCACAGGCATGGCTTAAGAATCATTGGAGGAAAACCACAGTGTGTGGCAGGGGATACAGGCATACAACATTTCTGAAAGTGGTAGATATGCAGATTCTTCCAGCAGTTGCATTGTTGAATAGACTGAAGGTCAGGGCAATGGGTGGCAGGGCAGGTGAATCTAAACCCTCTTCATTTGTAGGTTGTGCTTTTTTTACGTATTGTTTTTACTGAGTGATATAACCTCTGTAAGTAAATTAAAAAACAACCTTTGAAACTACATTAGCATGTTAAGATATTATTTAGATATTCGGAGTGGGATTAATTCAACAATTCAATCTTGGACTCCAATATTTACTTAAAAGTTTTGTGCAAGGACTTCACATAACTGCAGGACAGGGGTTCTGCTATTTATTGACAGTTGACCATGGCACATTGATACCCCTTCAAGTTGTCAAAGATTTCCATCTTCTGGTAAATTCCATTTTAAAAGCACTTGTGATGTTGTAGTAGACATAACCCATAAAAAAAAACAATGACAGTACAGAAAAATAGACACTGAAGTTGTGGTTTGTTTTATTCTTTGTAAGATTAGTACTTTATTGTTACAATAGAAGTATAAAGTTAGTTTGGAAAAGCATTTGGCATAATTAGATTTTTTCCTGAGAAAGCTGGTGTACATTGGATGGGCCTACATAGAGAAAGAGGGAGGAGTGGGAATTCTACTTTGTTCTAATTTAGTTAAAAAAAATACTGGTGCCGTTTATGCATAAAGCAGACTTTGCACCATAAAAAAGAGGGTGCTACTATTTATTAGCCCCTCCCCCATGTAAAAGCACAAACAAAACAGTTAAGAGAAAAAGAAAAGCTTTCCCACATGGAAGGAAAATATATTTGAAATATATTTTTAAAATATTCTTCCCAAACATATTGCCATATATTTGAAATACTACAATTTTGGTCGTATTCAATATATATATATATATATACTGCATTTTGAAATGCTTTTTTATTACAAAATATATGAAGAATATATGTAAAAATATGTTAAAATTTATTTTTTTTTTATGTTAAAATAATCTGAAGAATATATTTAAAAAATATATATTTTAAAATATATATATTTTTAAAATATATTCTGCAGATTGTTTTTAACATATAAAAAAGTCATTTTAACATATATTTTTACGTATATTTGTAAATGCATTCCAAAGATGATGATTTGTATTTTTAAAGACATACAGTGTATTTAAAATGTATTTTTAAAAATAGTTTTCATATATTTTGTAATAAAAATACATATTGACATGTAGTGTATATATATATTTTTTTTTTTTTTAATATATTTTGAAATATATTGAATATGGCCAAAATTGTAGTATTTCAAATATATGGTAATATATTTGAGAAGAATATTTTTAAAATATATTTCAAATATATTTTTCTTCATTATGGGTTACCTTGGACGTCAGCTTAAAACCTTCTTGTTTAGGTCTCGCTGATGCCTCTTAGTCTTACAAATTATTGGAA